CCCTTTAGAGTGCTCCCTGTTTCGGGTAAAGTGCCCGTCTATGGCGCTGCCCCGTTTTTCTTTGTCCAGGTTGACACATGTTGCCTTTTCTCCCTTCAAGACCGTTTCCAGGTCACTTAAACTAGTCTCCACAGCAGAATTTGAACCTAAGAAACCCCCTCGCTTCGACTATCTTAGAACCGGCTACCCGTCATGGCTCATGTACGATAACACCACCCACCGGTTCACCGAAAACACAAAACTAATAAGCGTGGAGGGGAATGTTGCATCTGGGAAGAGCCAGGTAGCAAAAAAACTTGCGGAGTTATTTGGGATGAATCTTGTACCCGATCCTACGGACGAAGACATATACGTGCTTGACCATTATAATCCTCCGATTGATATTCGAATGCATAATACATTGCTACCAAAGGAGGCCCAGTATTATACAACAGAAATGTTTTGGAACGAGGATAACTTGAAGGAAAATGGCAAGCCACTTTACCTCCAGTATCAGTTCTACTTGAATCGCTACTGGAAGTATTTGAAGGGCATGTGCACCCTCTTTAATACCGGTAAGTCCAGTTCGTGAAACTATTTGATTTTGCAGGCCAGGGTTGCATTACCGAAAGATCCCACTTCTCTGATGTCGCTTTCGCGGAAGCTCTTCTAAGATGCGGATACATATCCGAATATGGTAACTGAATATTTTCTGTGGTGAACTCTCAGCCTTCGATTGGTTTAGTTATCTGCATGCAAGCACCGCGCTTCATCTTTGGAAGCCTCATCTAATTGTGTATGTCAAAGCCACAAATAGCCAAATCCGAGAGGCTATCAAAAAGAGGGCTGTTGTAAGTTAGTCCGCTTTTGTTGTCCATATCCCCGATCGAAAAATTTAAAAGAAAATCCGGGTTTGTCATTTAAAAATTTTCAACTGTCAAATGACCTTTTTATCTTTTAACGTGATTTTTCTGTCTAAGAGCTGGGAAATAAACGCCAAGAACCTGACAGACAACTTCTTCACTGAGTACACCGCAGCTCTGGAAAGTTATCTCGAGAGAATGTCGCGGTATTCTCATATCTTCGTCGTTGATCGCACTTCAACCAACATATTCGA